AGTTTTTCTGCCTGTAAAATAAGAGGGTTGGGCCCAATGACCTCTGCGGTTCCTTCCAGGTCTGGCCATTCTATCTAGTCTGTGCTCCTAGGGAGCTGTAAGAGACCATAGAGACCACCAAGTCCATTTCACAGATGTGGAAACTGAGTTTAATGCCCATTCCAACACGGGTCTGGCATTCCAGATTCTAGGTTCTAAGGGTCCTTACCAGATAGGAACTCTCTTCTGAGGCCCCTCCCAACTCTGGTATTCTCTGTTCTAAGAGGACAGAGCTCTGCCATCCCCTGTTCTAAGGCCTTTCCAGCCCTGAAGGTCTACAATCCCTACATCTTCGGGTCAGTACCCCCCCCACTTCAGCCCTGCTTAGGGAAGCCTTGACCCAAGCCATCCCAGGGCCCGACCTTGGAGGCAGGACGCTCTCAGAGAGGCTCCAGACTCTGCCAGTCACTAATTCGCCCGTAATCCTAGAGAAGTCCTTTCATCTCTCTGAGCCCCAGTTTTTCCATCAGTCAGATGGGGATTATCCTGGTTCTCCTACCCTCAGGATAATGCAGTGGGGCTATCCCTGTAATCCTGAGAGTGGGATGGATAGAAACCACTGTTATTCTTGCTTTTCAGGGCTCCCATCCCCAAGTCTGGCCCAGGGCTCTTCTGTACTGTCCCCTGGGCTCTAGATGGTTCTGCCCCACCCAATAGAGCTGTGACTGGTTCTAGGAGGTTCTGAGTCCAGCCCAGCCCATCCCCATCAAGGAGAACCTGGCTAAGTGCAGAAAGATCGGTCCCCAGAAGGCCCAGGAGATACAGAGTGGTGCTGGGGCCATTTCTGCAGGAGGGTGAGAGGTGGGTGGATGGGGCAGGGGCTAGCCTCTGCCTGACCACTAACATGCTGTTTCTGTCTCTCTTTCTCCCTCTCCACCTCCTTCCCTCTCTTTCTCACTCTCTGTTTCTCTCTGTCTCTCTCCCTCTTTCTGTCTCTGTCTCCCTTTCTCTCCTTCCTTCTCTCTCCCCCCTCCCCTCTCTCCCTCTCCTCTCTCTCCCCCTCCTCTCTCCTCTGTCTCTCTCCCCCTCCCCTCTCTCTTTCCTCTCTCTCCCCCTCCTCTCTCCTCTCACTCTCCCCTCTCTCTCCCTCTCCTCTCTCTCCCCCTCCTCTCTCCTCTGTCTCTCTCCCCCCTCCCCTCTCTCTCTTTCCTCCTCTCCCCCTCCTCTCTCCTCTCACTCTCCCCTCTCTCTCACTCTCCTCTCTCTCCCCTCCTCTCTCCTCTGTCTCTCTCCCCCTCCCCTCTCTCTCTTCCTCTCTCTCCCCTCCTCCTCTCCTCTCACTCTCCCCTCTCTCTCCCCTCCTCTCTCCTCTGTCTCTCTCCCCCCCTCTCTCTCTCTCCCTCCTCCTCTCTCTCTCTCTTCCCTCTCCCTCCCCTCTCTCTCTTTTCCTCTCTCTCTCTCCTCCCTCTCTCCTCTCTCTCTCTTCCCTCTCCCTCTCCTCTCTCTCCCCCTCCTCTCTCCTCTGTCTCTCTCCCCCTCCCCTCTCACTCTCCCCTCTCCTCTTTCCCTCTCTCTCCCTCCTCTCTCCTCTGTCTCTCTCCCCCCCTCCCCTCTCTCTCCCTCCTCTCTCTCCCCCTCCTCTCTCCTCTCACTCTCCCTCTCTCTCCCTCTCCTCTCTCCCCCTTCCTCTCTCCTCGTCTCTCTCCCCCTCCCCTCTCTCTCTTTCCTCTCTCTCTCCCTCCTCTCTCCTCTCTCTCTCTTCCCTCTCCCCCTCCTCTCTCCTCTCACTCTCCCCTCTCTCTCCCTCTCCTCTCTCTCTCCTCTCTCCTCTGTCTCTCTTCCCTCTCCCTCTCCTCTCTCTCTCACTCTCTCTCCTCCCCTCCCTCCCCTCTCTCTCTCCCTCCTCTCTCCTCTGTCTCTCTCCCTCCTCTCCTCTCACTCTCCCTCTCTCTCCCTCCTCTCTCTCCCCCTCCCCTCTCTCTCTTTCCTCCTCTCTCTCCCTCCTCTCTTTCCCTCTCTCTCTTCCCTCCCCTCTCCCTCTCTCCCCCTCCTCTCTCCTCTGTCTCTCTCCCCCCCTCCCCTCTCTCTTTTCCTCTCTCTCCCCCCTCTCTTCCTCTCTCTCTCTTCCCTCTCCCTCTCCTCTCTCTCTCACTCTCTCTCCTCCCCTCCCTCCCCCTCTCCCTCTCTCCCCCTCCTCTCTCCTCTGTCTCTCTCCCCCCCTCTTCCTCTCTTCTTTCCTCTCTCTCCCCTCCTCTCTCCTCTCTCCTCTTCCCTCTCCTCTCCCCTCTCTCTCCCCCTCTCCTCTCTCTCCCCTCCTCTCTCCTCTGTCTCTCTCCCCCCTCCCCCTCTCTCTCTTTCCTCTCTCTCCCCCTCCTCTCTCCTCTCACTCTCCCTCTCTCTCTCCTCTCCTCTCCCCCTCCTCTCTCCTCTGTCTCTCTCCCCCCTCCCCTCTCTCTTTCTCTCTCTCTCCCCCTCCTCTCTCCTCTCACTCTCCCTCTCTCTCCCTCTCCTCTCTCTCCCCCTCCTCTCTCTCTGTCTCTCTCCCCCTCCCCTCTCTCCTTCCTCTCTCTCCCCCTCCTCTCTCCTCTCTCTCTCTTCCCTCTCCCTCTCTCTCTTCCCCCTCCTCTCTCCTCTGTCTCTCTCCCCCCTCCCCTCTCTCTCCCTCTCCTCTCCCCTCCTCTCCTCTCACTCTCCCTCTCTCTCCCTCTCCTCTCTCTCCCCCTCCTCTCTCCTCTGTCTCTCTCCCCTCCCTCTCTCTCTTTCCTCTCTCTCTCCCTCTCTCCTCTCTCTCTCTTCCCTCTCCCTCTCCTCTCTCTCCCCCTCCTCTCTCCTCTGTCTCTCTCTCCCCCCTCCCCTCTCTCTCTCCCCTCCCCCTCCTCTCTCCTCTCACTCTCTCCCTCTCCCCTCCTCTCTCCTCTCCCTCTCCTCTCTCTCTCCTCCTCTCTCCTCTGTCTCTCTCCCCCCCTCCCCTCTCTCTCTTTCCTCTCTCTCCCCTCCTCTCTCCTCTGTCTCTCTCCCCCCTCCCCTCTCTCTCTTTCCTCTCTCTCCCCCTCCTCTCTCCTCTCACTCTCTTCCCTCTCCCTCTCCTCTCTCTCTCACTCTCTCTCCTCCCCTCCCTCCCCCTCTCCCTCTCTCCTCTCTCCTTCTGCCTCACAGACCCCCAAACTGCTGTGATAAATTCTCAAATCCCACAGCTTTCCCACAAGCTATAAACGTGAATTAGGCCCCCCAAAACAACAACATCAACAATAGAAATGGAAACAATCCTTGAAGAACAACCTTGTGGCGTGTCAGTGACCAGGGTGGGCTCTTCTTTGTAGAGGTGGGGGACTATGGGTGTGGAATGGGGCAGGCGCTGTGGGACTTGCTGGATTGTTCTTCCTGGGGAGGAAAGGGAGGACAGATACACTCAGAAATGCTGGAGGGGCTGATCTGGCAAGTGAGGCAGAGGGGAGAGAAGGCCTGAGAGGAAATCCTGCCTTGGATCTCACTAGCTGTGTGACTCTGGGCAAGTCGTGTAACCTCTGGCTTCCTCAGTTTTCTCACGTGGGTTGTTGTGAAAAGCAAGTGAGATACTCTTTGTAAAGCATTTAGCACACTGCCTGGCACACAGTAGGCACTTAATAAATGCTTGTTTCATTCCTAAACTTAGAGCTAAAAGGGACCTTAGAGAGCCCCATTTTACAGATGAGGAAAGTGAGGCCCATTGAAGGGAAGGGAACCTGGCCAAGCCCAAGGCTTTGGAACAAGGCAATGACAGCAGCCTACCCTGTGTCCTTTAACTACAAATCCAAGGAGGTTTCCGGCGCACCCAGAATCTCCCCACGGTCTCATTTCCTTCCACTCCTCCCAGGTCCACCAAAGCCCAGAGGCCTGACTCCTCCACCCCAAGGCAGCCCTGCCAACATCCGGAGACCGAGTCCCATAGTGCTCTCTCAAGGTCCAGACCCCCCCAAGCGTCCCCTGCCCACCCAGGGCAGAGAGGCTTGGCTTGGCTTGGGGCACAGGTGGGTCTACAGGCCATGGGGAGGGGCTCTGCTCCCCCGTGCTCCCCCACCTCCTTCCCTGTTTCGGTTGCCCCTTGGGTCTGGGCAATGTTACAAGGGGTTTTTTTTGTTTGTTTGCAATAATGCTATGAGGGAAGCAGGACAAATATTACAGAGCAGGGTCACACAGTTTGTTAATGACAGAGCTCAAAGCCACAGTCCTCGACTCCAGGACAGTGAGACTCCCCCACAAAGGCCCATAGCTTCCCAATCCTTGGTAACTCCATCTTTGGAGCTGGTGGTCCTGAGCTGGAGATAGTCGGCACATGGCAGCACTCTGCTGGCCTTCCGTAGAACTGCAAGCATTGGTTTTCCCCTGGACCTCCCCGTTCTCCCAAGACACTTTGCTTCTTCTGGAGTCAGCTCCCGAGGGAGGCCCCGGAGAGGCTCCTCTGGGTGCGAGTCACAGACTGGGGACCAGCCTCCCATCTCTCCAAAGCCGACTTTCCTAGCTGGCCTTGAACGGCCTCCCCAGATCCAGCCCCCTCCCATCTTCCAGGGCCTTAGAGCCACCCCACCCCACCCCAGCCCACCACGTCCATCTCTCCCGCTGACTCTGTGGGGACCTGGGACCAGTCACACATCTCTCAACTTCAGTTTTCCTATCTGTACATGACGGAATTGAGTTTAATGATCTCCAAGAACCTTTCCAGCTCTGAAATTCAATGATATTAGGAATCAGGAAGCCTAAGGTCTAGCCTCTACCTGGCTATCAACATGCTGTTTCTGTCTCTGTCTCTTTCTCCCTCTCCCACCCTCCTTCTCTCTCTTTCTCGCTCTCTGTTTCTCTCTGTCTCCCTCTCTCTGTCTCTCTCCATCTCCCTTTCTCTCCCTTCTTCTTCTTCTTCTTCTTCTTCTTCTTCTTCTTCTTCTTCTTCTTCTTTCTTCTTCTTCTTCTTCTTCTTCTCCTCCTCCTCCTTCTTCTTCTTCTCCTTCTTCTCTCTCTCTCTCTCTCTTTCTCTCTCTCTCTCCCCCCCTCCCCCTCTCCCTCTCTCCTCCCTCCTTCTGCCTCATAGACCCCCAAACTGCTGTGATAAATTCTCAAATTCTCAGGGATTTATCTGCCAGGAAAGAATCTCCATGGGTAAATGTACAAAAAGCCAGTCAGAAACACCCTTGCTCTAGAGAACAGGGCGAAGCAGTTGGGGAGCATGGAGGGACATTGGAGATCCAGTCCCTTCTTTCATGGGGAGGGACACTCCCAGGTAGTAAGTGGAATTGCACCTGAGGTGGTTCGACCAGCACTGCAACCAGGACTAAGTGAATGGGGCTTCTTCTAAGGCTGCCAATATCAAAGGGTACATTTCCTTGGATGGGTTCCTTCCCTGCTGAGCCATAGTGCTCTCTGATAATGCAGAATTCAAAAGGCTATTGAGCTGATAGAATGGGGGCACTGGTGGTAAATAACTCATGTAAACCATAAATGAGGTTTTGAAACTCCCTGGGCTGTCTTCAGCCAATAATTGCTCCCCACCTCGCTAAGCCCCATGACCTTTGGCCCTCTCAGTACTACCAAGTTATCGCCCTCTCCTTCCAGGATCCAGGAGGCAAGAGAAAGGGGTAAAAGGGCACGAAAGAACATGGAACACATCCCCCACCCCCAGCCCCTAAACACCCAGTGACACCATTACAGTCCCATTGTATGTACGTTCAGAGAGGAGCCTGGTAGTCCCAATTCTCCCTTTCCAGATGACATAGTCCTACCAATCCTAGGGTCAGTGGTTTATTTTAATAAGCCCCCCACACCCCACCCTCACACACGCTTCCTCCCAAGCTGGAGCTTGACCCTCTCAAAGAACTGTAGCACACGATTCTGGCCCTTTCTCTGGGTAGGGCCAACTGTGTGCCTTCCCCGGGAGCCTGATGGAGCTGCCTCAGTGGTCACTAAGCCCCACAGTTTGTTCTAGGACTCATTCCTCTCCCTCCCACTCCCCTGACCTTGCCACCGGGTCCTGGGTGGGTCAGAGACCCAGGCCACCCCAAGGTCCCCGGACCTGAAAGCTGGAAGGGACCTTAGAAGCCCCTTAATCCAACCTCCTCATTTTAGAGAGCCAAACGCTCCAGGATCAGTGCTTTGGGCCACACTGGCCCTCTGCTGTGCCTGAGGATTCTCTGTGCTGACAGAAGGGGCGTCTGCTAGACCGCTCTATGGGATCTGGGACTTCCAAAGGGTGGCTCTGGGATGGCCATCTCCGAATCACACGCATGGAAGGATCCCTCCAAGGCCAATGGGCCCAGCCTATCCACGAACAAGACGCCTCCAGCTTCTGCCTGAAGACCTCCCATCATGGGGAAGCCCTTCCAGTGGGGCAGCTCTCATCTCCTCCAGACCCTGCCCTGTGGGCCCAAGCTGTCCAGACACTTGGACAGAGCTCTCCTCTGCCCCCTCAGTCTTCTCTTCTCCAGTTCCTCCAATGGGCCCTCCTTGGTGGAGGGCACTTCTGGGCCCTTTGCCCTTCCCCAGACACATGACTACCTGTCAGAGTCCTTACTGAATAGGACGCCCAAAGCATTTGCTGCCTCTGCTCAGGGATGGGGGTGGCCCAGAGTAGTTAGAGAGAAGGCTGGGAGAGGGTCAGACAGCCATGGGCCGGGAGGAAGAAGTAGGTTTGAAGGGTGTGGCCACCCTGGAGAGGAGCTCAGGCCTTGGGCAGGATTCCCCCTCAAGGGGGCTGGAAGGCCTGTGACCACAGAGTCTTTGCCCCTCTGCCACAGAGGATGAAGTCAGCAATGAAGCCTTCCATCCGTGAAGGAAGCCAGGTCAGAGAGTCTTGGACTCTGGTGCTGGGGAGGCACAGGGGAATGGGTAGCCCTAGCTGCGGGGTATACCTCTTTCCCTATGGATCAGGGGGATCAGTCTGTGGGACCTGGGGAGGCTTGAGGAGGTGAGTCACACCAAGGGGCAGGCCTGGGCCTTTGCTCAGGTTAGGGTAGGGTAGCACTGGCCCCATGCAGGGCAGGGCAGGGGCATTAGGTGGGTTGAGGGGAGCAGTCCCTGGCCACTGCTCAGGTCAGATCAGGGGGGCATTGGCCCCAGGCAGGGCAGGGCAGGGCAGGCCAGGCCAGGCAGGGGTATTGGGTGAGCAGACGCCGGCCCCGGCTCAGCCCGCTCAGGTCAGGGGGTCTGGTCTGCCAGAGGCAGCAGATCCTGGGCAGTGAGCCTCGCCTCACGGGTCAGCGCCCGGTAGCGCCACAGTTGGATCAGCAGGAAAAGCAGCAGCAGGGCGTGGAGTAAGAGCAGGCAGAGCAGGGCGAGCTGGGCCCCCAGTGCCTGGCTGCAACCAGCCACCCCGCAGGTGGCCTGCAGCTCCTCGGGGCCCAGATAGAGCAGGAGGCGGCCCCGAAGCCGGGGGGGCCCGGAACAGCGCAGGTCCCGGTAGGCCCTGCGGTTCTGCTGCGCCCCCAGCCAGGCCCACAGGTAGGAGAGGCCACAGTCACAGTGCCAGGGATTAGCCCCCAGGTGCACCAGGCGCAGGAGGGGCAGCCCGTCGAAGAGGCCCACGGGCAGGCTGCTCAGGTTGTTGGCTTGAAGGATGACCTCAGTGGTGCTCGGAGGGAAGGCCCTGGGCAGGCCAGCCACCGTCAGGTGCTGGTGCCCACAGTCCACCAGGTCGCCAGCGCAGCGACAGCGAGGGGGACAGGCCGAGGCCCGGCGGACGGAGGCCAGCAGCAGGAGGCCCAGGGCCCAGGGTCCCAGCAGCAGCCCTGGAACAGGAGAGCCAGTAAAGGAAGGGTGGCGGCCCAGGCCCCACCCAGACTCCAAAGCCAGGGGCCCAGAAGGGACCTTCCTCTGTTAGGGACCGAGCCCCCTGCTTCACAGATGGGGAAAGTGAGGCTCCGGGAGAAGGGAAGTTGGGGTTAGAAGGGACCTTAACTAAGCCTCCATCATGATTTTAGTCCCATTTTAAAGGGACTTTTGGAACATAGAACTTAAGGCTAGAAGGGACCTTAGAGATCCTGCCCTCACTGTCTTAGTCTCACCCTCCCATTTTACAGATGAGGAAACTGAGGCCCAGAAAAGGAAAGGCTTTTAGGTCACAAGGCCAATTAGTGAGTGAATTTGGATTTGAACCCAGGTCTTTGCCTACAAATCCCACCTTACACCATTCAATTCAACCCTATAAGTTTTTATTAAACACCTTCTGCATGCCAGGCAGCGTTCTGGGCTCCTGTAGACAGAGGAGCAAAGAGTCGCTGGGGGGAGGAGAGGGGTGGTCATAGGATCCTCAGGGGGGCTAACCATGAAGAAAAATTAGAGAGAAGTCTAGAGAAGAGGAGGGAGTGCTTTCCAGGTCCTGAGCCTGTCTACATCTCTCCTCTTCTAGACTCAGTTTCCCCATCCATAACCTTCCTTCTCTACCCCCAATTCCATTTCCTTGGTAGGATGAGGGTGGGGGTTTCAAGGCCTGCTCCTGCTACCAATTCCTCCTCCCTCAGCCCATTTCCTCATCTGTAAAATGAGGGGGTTGAACCCTGTGACTTCCAAACACCCCCCGACTCCGGACATTCTGGGATTCTCAGCCTGGCCTGACAGACAGGAATGTATCAGGGGTAGGGGCTTTGGAGGTCCCAGCCCAGCCTTGGCCCACTGGACCTAAGAGAAGTGAAGCCGGGGATTGGGCCTGGGAGGAGGGCAGGGGCAGGGGCACAGAGGGCCTCCGGGAAGGAGAGAAGCATTCTCCGGAGGCCAGTCTCCTTCAAGGAGGCTAGTGATGGATGGGTCTGGAAAGGAAAAGACCCCCATTTTCCAGGACTGCAGAAGACAAACACCACCCTTCCACTCCCACCCCCACCCCAGCTCTGGTGGGGCCTGGGGCCTAGACCTCAAAAGATCCCGAATCAGCGCAGAAACCTCCCCCTTCCCACTGCCCCCCCCCAAAAACCCTCTATCATGGCCAAGGCCAGACTCACCAGAACCCATGGCCCCTGGCTGGTAGGGCAGAGCAGATAGAAGATGACAGGGGTTGGACAGGCTGACCTTCCCGAACTGAGCCCTCCCGGGTATAGTGTGGTCACTATCCCCCTCCAGGGGATAGTGGTCAGAGTAAAGCAGCCAGAGATAAGGCAGAGGCCCGCCCCTCCCAACCCATCAGCCTACAGGAAAGAGGGAGACAGCCAGTGAGGGCTGGGGCAGGGTGGGACAGGGAAGAGGGAGGTGAAAAGACAAGCCAGAAGGTGAGGCTCCATAGAAGTCCAAGATGAAGGAGGTATGTCTGGACAACGATTCACATGAAAAAGATCTGGGGGTCTTAGTGGGATGCAAGTTCAATACTAGACTGATGTGGTAGCTACAAAAACTGGGCCTGACTCTCTGTGACCCTTCCACTCTGGGCCTCAGTTTCCCCCTGTGGAAAACTAGGACATTAAAAGAGATGGTCTCTGAGAATCCCTCCTGTTTTAAGTCTATAATCTGACATGACCATAGGCATTTCTTAACCTCTCTGGGCCTCAGTTTCCCCATCTGAACAGGAGAGGATTGAACTAGGGGTGGCCCCTGAGTCCCTTCCTGTTCTAAATCCAAGATGCTAAGATCTTGTCTATGCGGCCCCCAGCTTGAGTTCCCAGAGTCTTCGTTTCCTCATCTGTAAGATGAGGGGGGTCCAATGAGATGCCCTCTGAGGTTCACTCCCAGCTCAGATCTTGGGGAGCATTTGTAGTAAAAAAAAAAAAAAACTGGAGCTCCCTCATGTAGAGCTTGGATTCTGATAAAGGCAACCAGGCCAGAGGGACAAGGCTGGGGGCTCAAGCCTGGTGGGTATAATGGGGAAAGCCACGGGCTGGCAGGAGTCAACAGACAGGATGCAGCCCTGGCTCTCCCCGCTCCTAGCAGAGTGAAGGTGGGCCTACAGCTTAGCCTCTCTGAAACATCTGTAAAATGGGCATAACCATGTTTGTAGACCTTACCCTCTTGGTGTCCTCTTGAGAAAATCCCTCCACATACTTTAAAATGCTCTAGAATTCGGAAGCATTTTTTCATCATTTGAAGGAATTGGGGGTGCTGGTCTGGGGATGAACAGGGAGCCCTCAGATTGGGTTTATTCTTCTTGGCCCCAGAAGTCCAAGAAGCAATAGTGGGAAGTGACAGGGAGGCAGGTTTAAGGTCAGTGTCTGACAAAACTTAACAAATAGCTACCCCCAAATGGCAGGGGCTCCTGAGAGGTAGTGAGCTCCCTGTGGTCAGAGGACTCCTAGCAGAGGCTAGATGGCCCCACAGCAGTCGTGGATTCTGGCCCTCCAAAGCCCCTTCCAGCTGATTCACCGAGTGACCCAGAGGGTCCCAGCCCTGAGGGGAGATGGAGCCGCTGGACAGTACCAGACCCAGCCGGATTCAGGCAGAACTAAGCCCGAATCCCCACATCGAAAATATAGAAGCGGGTGCACCCAGGGCCTCAGCCCCTCATTGTACGATGCTGGAGCTGGTGGTCTCTGGAGACCCTTCCAACTCTGAGCCGCCAAGGCTTGGGGGCCAGGGACAAGAGGAGGCATGAGGAGGGGACCCCACGGGAGGCTGCATAGGGGAGATAGAGGCGCTGAGTCAGCAGAGGCCGGTAAATGGGGTTTCCTGGCCCCAGTCCCCTCCCCCGCCCCCTCTCAGGGGTCCCGGCACCACAACGGAACACACAGGACAAGGCCGGGAGCTCCATCACTATCCTTATTCTCCCACCCATCCTGGGGGTGGGAAGCATCAACGAGCAGAGAATGTTAATTAACAAAAAGGCTCCATTTCCAAAGGGGGAAGGGGACAGAGAAATTATTGTACAAAGACCAGAAACCGGGCCACAAGTCCAAAGTCGGGGGTCGGGGGAGAGGGGGGGAAGGGGGCCTGAGCAGGGAGAAGAGACTGCCCCACCCCCGAGGCTGAGGGACATGCGGGATCAGACCACCCAAACACAGAGCTGGAGAATGGGGACCCCGCCTGCCTGGGACCCCCCGAGGGGGTTTGCCTGGGCCTTCAGGGCTCAGGCTCCAAACCAGAGAGGGTCCAGAAAACTAGCCAGAGCCAGGGGGGCTGGGCTGGGGGATGAAACAAATGATGACGGAGAGCACACAGAGCCAGTGGGGTTGGAGAGCTGGGGACAGGGGGTCTGTCAGGAGGGGGCAGGCAGGGTACCAGGCTGGCATCCTCACTCCCGGGGCCCATCACTGTCCCCCACACCCCTACCACAGGAAGGTTTGAGCCTCTGAGGAAGCCAAGAGCCCCAGACCAGGAGCAGATTGGGGGGTGGAGGAGGGTCTGCCAGGCAGGTCTCACCCACAAGAGGGGGGTGGCAGGGGAAGGGCTCTCAGATGGGGGTCAGGGATCGAATATGCCCACCAGCCCTCCTCCTGTTAGCTTCTGCCCATTTGGGAATGGCCTCCTCCCCCCATTCCCAGCATCTATGGAGCCAGCAGAGGAGAAGCTCACCCCTCCCTCCCTGCGCCCCCCAGGCTGACCCATGTGGGAGATGGCCAGAGCCTGAGCAGCCTAGGAGGCCCAGAGGGGGAAGGATCTACCTAGCTGCCAGGTTCTGCGGCTCCCTGAGGGAGGTGGGCTTCAGGGGGCCCCCTGCCTGCTACCCCCCAAGGTGAGCCCAGGGCCAAGGGGCTGCTGGGGAGCAAGGAGGCCCACCCCAAAAGCCTGAGCCCAGGAATGGGCAGAAGCCAAGTTATGAGTGTGAGTGTGTGAGCGTGGGTGTGAGTGTCTGGGTGTTAAAGACTGGGCTTTGGGCCCGGGTACTGATAGGAAGGGAAGGGGCAGGGTCCATGGCAGGAGTACTCTGGATGTGGAATAAAATGACCTGGTTTCAAATCCTTACTACCTCTGTTCCCTGGCCGAGTCCTTTTCCCTCTCTGGGCCTCAGTTTCCCCATCTTTAAGAATAATAGCTAGCATCTCTGCGTACTTTTAGGTTCATAAATATTACTCATGATCCTCCCAATGACACTGGGAGGTAGGTGCTACTGCTATCCCCATTTTACAGTTAAGGAAATTGAGGCAGAATGAGGTTAAGGGACTTGTCCAGGGTCACCTAGCTAGCAAGTTTCTGTGGCAGCATTTGAACTCAGGTCTTCCTGACTCCAGAGCCACTGCTCTGTGCCCTGTGACACCTCATTTGTAAATGAGAGGCATAGGCTAGAAGGCCCTTGAGGTCTCTTCTGGCAGTCATTCCCGTGATCCTCTATGTCTTCTGGCCTTTCCCCTCCCCAGATAGGAAGGCCTGGCTAGGTGGGGGGGAGAGGGGGAACCGCATAGCCCTTATCTGCCTGCACCATAGTCCCCCCCCTTCCCAGCAGGGGGGAGAAGGGGGGCCCTAGGAGGAAAAAAGGGAAGAAGGAAGCAGAGGGGGAGCCTGACCACTCCCCACCCCTCCCAAGTCTACAGGGAACAGGGTGATGGGGAGTGGGGGCCCAGGACAGGGCCTTGGTCCTTACGAGGCAGGGAGGCACGTGGAGCTGGGGCTAGGTCCGAGGCATGGCTGGCGAGGCCTCAGCCCCCCAGATGAGAGAGGGGCTGGGCTGAGGGGGGGCTAGCTCCCCAGTGCCGTTCTGTTCCTTGCCACCCAAGCCTCAGAGCGGGTGGTACCTAGCCCAGGAGGCCTGAGATACAGGGAGCACACGGCCCTATTCTGGGCCGGCCCGCACAGGCTGAGAATAAATTAGGGGTCTGCCTGGGGGGCTCCCACACAGAGAGCCTCTAGACAGCAAGGAGGGCCTGGCCTTCTTGGCCCCCCGGAGGAGGCAGAGGAGGGCCCCGAGTCAGCCCCAGCATCACTGGTCCTGCATTTGCTGCTTCATCTTCTGCAGCATCTCCTGCATTCGCCTTAGCTGAGGAGGGGACAGAGAGACGGGTGAGTGAGGCCCACAGAGACTCCGGAGCCATCCTGTACCTCCATCTGACACCCCGAGGCCTCCCCTCCCAGATGGAGCAGGCCTGGCGTTGAGGCGGCTAAAGACAAGGGCCAGGGAGATGGCCCCGTCCCAAGGAGGGCCCTCAACGGCCGGCTGCTGGGGGAAGCTGGGGACCTGAGGGGCAGAGGACTCCCAGGGCCTTACCTCCTCATCCTTCATCTTGATCAGCTTCTCTGTCTCTGTGTCTGGGGTGGGCACAGGCAGAATGGGGATGGGGCTCTCGATCCGGTTGTCCTGGGTCAGTTTGCTGGGGAGGAGAAGAGAATGGGGGGGGCCGGTTCTATCTCTCCCTCCCTGCCTTCTGTCTCTGCCTCTCTCTCCTCTGTCTCCCTCCCTCCCTTCTGTCTCTCTTTTTCTCTCTGTCTCTCTCCAACTCCCTCCCTCTCTCTGTTTCTGTCTCTCTCTCTCTCCCCCACCCCATCTCTGTCTGCCTCTCTGTCTCTTTCTCTCTCTCTTTCTCTGTTTCTGTCTCCCTCCCTCTTTGTCTCTCTCTTTCCTCTGTTTCTGTCTGTCTGTCTGTCTGTCTGTCTGTCTCTCTCTCTCTCACACACACACACACACACACACACACACACACACACACACCCCAAGTTCCATTGGCTCGGTCTTGCCTCCCCATCTCTGGCCATCACATTCCATCTCCCCTCCCAGGAGAGTGGAGGATGCCCAGCTGCCCAGCTAACGTTTTGAAGACTTCATGACAGAGAACTCACTACCTCTCCAGGTAGCAGCCCATCGGCCCACTCCACCTCTGGCCAGCTTCCCTCACTAGGAGAACACAAGTATCTTATGTAAACTTCATTCCTCTGCCAATGACCAGTTCAGGGCACCCACACAGCAGATGCTTAATAAATGTTGGCTGTGAGGCAGCTAGGTGGCCAGTGGACACAGCACTGGCCCTGGAGTCAGGAGGACCTGAGTTCAAATCTGACCTCAGACCAAACACTTAACACTTACTAGCTGTATGACCCTGGGCAAGTCACTTTACCCCAACTGCCTTGCAAAAAAAAAAAAAGTGGGCTGAATCAAACTGAATCATCAAGAGCAAACCAGAGCCTGAGGCAGGTGTTTCAACTTGAGGAGGCCCAAGCCAGGTTCTGCTCCGACTCCTCAGGGCTGGCAGGATTCCTCCCCATCCTGGCCAATTTTACCCAGTTCCCACTGAACCAGGATGGCCTCAGGGGGCTGTGGGCCACGAGGGACCAGACCTGGTGGTGGCGTGGAAGGGTGGAACAGAGAGGAAACTGAGGCAAGAGAAGGGGGCAGGCCCCACCTAGCTATAGCTGCCATTCTGTTGGGGTCCCCACCTGGTCATCTGCTGGATGCAATGGGCCCGGTAATTCTCATAGTGCACGTCACAGGTCACGTCTTTCAGGTCGTGCATGTGCGTCCGGATCAGCATGTTCCGAAGCTTCACAAAGTCGCAGTGGGCCTGGTTTTCCACTGCCAGAAGTGGAGGGAGGCTGAGCCTTTGGGACCTTCTCTCTCCCCCTGATCACCCCTGCTCCCCTTCCCAGGGAATCTGCCCCTATCCTGAACACAGCCACAGCCTGTGTGACCTTGGGCCGGCCCACAACCACTCTGGGCCTCAACTGCCTCCTCTGTAAAATGAGGGGGTTCAACTCTGTGCTAAGAACCCTCCCAGCTCTGACATCCCCTATTCTAGGCCCTTTCCCAGCCCTGACATCCCCTGTTCTAAGGCCCCTCCCAGCTCTGACATCCCCTCTTCTAAGGCCCCTCCCAGCCCTGACATCCCCTCTTCTAAGGCCTCTTTCAGCTCTGACATTGCTACCCTTTGAAATAGAACACATCCCTTGACAGCCCCTCTCCCCAGGCTCACCCCAGGATGCTGTGTATACTGGGTAGGGGTAATTAAAAGGCCTTCTACCCTACCCCCAAATATCTCCTGCCTTGAACTTGGAATTAGAGACTCGCTCCTTTGGGTTAAGGCCTGTCTGGGTTGCTTCCCCACCCCCAATCTTCAAAATAACAATTTCCCCTAGGCTAGGGTGTTATACAGGAAGCTGGCTATTATCAACCATTGACACTCTAGTATGAATGAGCTCATCAGCTTCCTCCAGGGGTCTCTCAGGAAAGGAGAATTAGGCCACAAATAGGGGCAGACTGCTGGGCCGGGAGGCCCTGGTGGGATAGCAGGACTAGGACAGGGTAGTGAAGCTCGCTGAAAGGGGCTCTAAAGGGGCCCAGGATCCTTGGCCCTGGTCCCCAGTTTGGGGCAGCTCTCCCAGGACAGAAATGGAGCCAACTCACCTTCCACAATGCCCCAGGGATAGAGCCTCCCCCGGACCCGCTGGCCCTTGGCCTCCACCACGGTATTACTGCCTATGACGGCGAAGGGGGCACTCTCCTGAGGGGACAGAGGACGATGGATGAGAGGAGGCCCAGGCAGAAGCAGAGCCCCCCATGCTCCCTGGCCCTTTCAGCCATTCCCCAACGTTCCCACAGCCCGGTTAGGTCCCACCTCTCCAGCCCCATCCTCACCAAGGACGTGGGGTAATAGGTAAGCAATTTAGAACTGGACGGCTCTTCAAGTCCAACCCCCCAGTTTTACAGGTGAGGAAACTGAGATTAAGTGACTTGCCCGAGGTCATATGGGGAGATAACATTAAACATGAGCCCAGGTTGTTGACTCCAAACCCAACATTCTTTCCCCTGGTGTTTCTGGAACACAGCCCTCTTTGCTGAGCTATGGACCCCCTTCCCGAGTGCTGTCCCACCCCCTTGTGCATCAAGGTCCCCATCCAGATCCCTCAGAGCCCCTCCATGCTGACCTCATTCATCTCAGAGCCCTGCTGAGCATGACGGTGCCAGGCTGGCACACCCTGCCTCTCAGCGAAGTTTGCCTGCCCCGCCCAGGACCTCTGCCCTGCCTCCCACAGACTGGCAGCAAGGGGTCGTCAGAGGCCCAGTCTGCTTTGGGGGAGACCAAAGGCCCCAGCTCCAAGGAGAGGGGAGTGCTCGCCAAAGGCAGGCGGGCTGACCTCTTGAATGAGAGCCCTGCAGGTCTGGAGCTGGACCAGGGAGCAGTCCTGTGAGGAACTAGGGAGACCAGGCAAAGAGCCCTCTTCCTCGCTCCCCTGGGGATCCCACAGAAGGAAGGCCCTGCAGGGCCCAGAGCAGCAGCTAAGGAGACAGACACAGTGGTCAGAGCCCTGCCCTGCCCTGGGCCACACAGGCCCCCTAGGAAACAGGCCAGGCCAGCCAGGAGACCAGGGCAGGCCACGAGGTGACCAGGCCAAGACAGTGAGGTAACCAGGGCAGGCCAGCAAAGTGACCAGGCCAGGACAAGGTGACCAGGCTGGGGCAGAGGAGGACAGCAGTGCTCCAAGCCCAGGAAAGAAGGCTTAGGCCAGGGGCAGCTAGTTGGTGCAGTGGATAGAGCACCGGCCCTGAAGTCAGGAGGACCCAAGTTCAAATTTGGCCTCAGACCAGACACTTGACACTTACTAGCTGTGTGACCCTGGGCAAGTCACTTAACCCCAATTGCCTAACAAAAAAATAAAAAGAAGGCCCAGGCCTGTAGCCCAGTGGGTGGGGGTCATCGGGCCTGCTGGGGAAGGGGCTGCTTACTTTTAACTCCCGGTCTTGCTGCTTGAACTCCTCGTCCTCATCGGAGTCACAGTCTGGGAACTGGTACACCTTGATCCCAAACTTGTCAATCTCCTCCCGGATCTAGGCCAGATACTGAGCTCAGAGCCCCCAGTCCGGTTACCACCCCACCCCCTCGTCCGCCTCCACCCTGGAAGTCTGACCATCCTCCACTGAGCCCCATCTCTTCCCGGACCTCGCCCCCAGTTTCTGGGGCCCTCAGGGATGGGGGGCCAGGGAGTGCCTCACCCTCTCCTTCAGTTTTCGGATCTCTCCCGGGACGAGGCAGTCGGCCTTGGCAATAAGGGGGACGATATTCACTTTTTCGTGAAGGGCTTTCATGAACTCCACGTCCACTGGCCGCAAGCTGGGATGGGAAGTGAGGCATTAGAGTAGGCAGGGAGCCCATTGTACAGGCAAGGAAACCGAGAACCAGGAAAGAGGGACTGGAAGGGAGCCGGGTGGCCCTCTGGCCCAACCCGTATGAGAACAAGGCTGTCC